GCTGAGTGAATTAAGCCAATCCCAAAGGGACAAATACCATATGTTCTCCCTGATAGGTGACAACTAACTGAGCACCAAAAAGGAAACACGTTAAAGTGAAATGAACACTATGAGAAACGGTGACTTGATCAGCCCTCACCCTGACTGTTGATGAACTGCTTAATATGTTATCCCTCTTAGTATTTTTTGTTTGTTTGTTCTACTTAATACTTTTGGTGGAATACTGTAATCAATACACAATTATTCTTAAGTGCTGAAACTTAACTGAAAAGTGATCGCTGTTAAATGTAAGAGTGGGAATAAGAGAGGGAAGAGATGTGCATCCGGGACATGCTCAAGCTGACTTACCTCAAATGGTAGAGTTAGAAACATACCAGGGGATTCCAATTCAATCCCATCGAGGTGGCATGTACCAATGCCATCTCACTAGTCCCAGTGATCAATTTCAGTTCACAATTGATCATAATGATAGGACTAAGAACCAAAGGGATCACATAAACAAGACTAGTGTCTGCAAATACTAGCTGATAGAATAAAAAAGGGAGAGAATGATCCAACATGGGAAGTGAGATACACAGCAGACCCATAGAATGGCAGATGTCCTAAACAGCACTCTGGCCCCAGAGTCAGCCCTTAAGGCATGGGGATCTGGCTGAAAAGCCCATGAGAATATTTCAGGCATGGAAAGCCAAGACACTCTGGGAAAAAAAAAAAAAAAAAACCCTAAATGAAAGATCTCCGCAAATGAGATCCCAGTGGAAAGAATAGTCCATAAAAGAAGGAGGTACCTTTCTCTGAAGGGAGGAGAGAACTTCCAATTTGACCATGGCCTTGTCTAAATAGATCAGAGTCAGTGAACTCAGGGGGCTTCCATAGCCTTGGCAGCTCATGACAAGAGCCTAGGGTGATTACTGATGCCATCAACAAGAGTGTCAATTTGTTAAGTCATCAACAGGAGTCACTGTGCACTTATTCCTCATGTAGGATCTTTGTCCTTAGTGTGCTGTACATTGTGATTTAATGCTATAACTAGTACTCAAACAGTATTTTTCACTTTATGTTTCTGTGCGGGAGCAAACTGTTGAAATCTTTACTATGCTAAACTGATCTTCTGTATATAAAGAGAATCGACAATGAATCTTGATGTGAATGGAAGGGGAGAGGGAGTGGGAAAAGGGAGGGTTGTTGGTGGGAGGGACATTACGTGGGGGAAGCCATTGTAATTCATAAGCTGTACTTTGGAAATCTATATTCATTAAATAAAAGTTAAAAAAAATAAAAGAAAGAAAGAAATCTGGTCATTTGCAACAAAATGAAAAATCTGGAAAACATCATACTTAGTGAAGTAAGCCAGTCCCAAAGAGACAAATATTATATGTTCTCTGTGATCTGTGATAACTAATAGAGCACCCAAAAGGAAATTTTAGTAGTGTGATTGACAGTTTGAGAAGCAATTACTTGGGAAAGATTTTATATATTTCATTGGGACAATTTTCTCCCTCCGTGTATTCCTCCCTTATTCTCCTTCCTGCCTTTTTTCTATAATTTTTAAAAAATGTAATTTCAATGTACTCCGTTATCACAGGCTTAATGCACCGCTAATCATAATATCAACATGTAAAAAGTATAAAGTTCAGAGTACAAAGTTCACAAGATGTCAACGTCATTCCTACAGAATTTTTTATGTTCTGTATTAACTACCATATATCAGAGAAATTATATGATATTTGTACTTGGGAACTGACTTATTGTAGTGTTTCCAGCAGAATACAGTACAGAAACTTATCAATTTGATGCAATCCCAAATGTTAATTTTGGCCTTGACTGCCTGTTCTTCTGGGGTGTTTTCCACGAAGTCATTGCCGGTACCTATATCTTTCCGGGTTTTTCCAATATAGAGTACATATTCCATAATTTCTTTATCCAGTGTTCAGTTGATGGACATTTAGGCTGATTACATGTCTTAGCTATTGTGAATTGAGATGCAATAAACATTGAGGTGCAGATAACTCTTTTATTTGCTGATTTATTCCCCTGGGTAAATTCCCAGGAGTGAGATGGCTGAGTCATATGGTAGGTCTATATTCAGATTTTTGAGTTATCTCAATACCAAAATCCATAGTGGTTTTACTAGTTTACATTCCCCCCAACAGTAAATTAGCGTACCTTTTCCCCACATCCTTTCCAGCATTTGTTGTTTGTTGATTTCTCTATAAGAACCATTCTAACTAGGGTGAGGTGAAACCTCATTATTGTTTTGATTTACATTTTTCTGATGGCTAGTGATTCTAAACATTTTTCCATTCATCTGTTTGCCATTTGGACTTCCTCCTTTGAAAAATGTCTGCTTAAGTCCTTAGCCCATTTCTTAACTGGGTAGTTTGTGTTGTTGTGGAGTTTCTTGATCTCTTTGTCAATTCTGGTTATTAATTTTTATCAATCAATTAATCTTTTATCAGCAAATATTTTCTCCTTTTTTGTTGGTTTCCTCTTCACTTTCTTGTTTCTTTTTCAGTACAGACTCTTCTCAATTTGATGTAATCCCATATTTTAATTTTGACTATGATTGCCTGTGCATCTGGGGTCTTTCCCAAAAACTCTTTGTCTATGCCAGTGTCTTGCAGAGTTTCCCCAATGTTCTCCTATAATTCAATGGTATCAAAATTCATGGATTTAGGTTTCTAATCCAATTTGAATGGATTTTTGTGCAAGGCATAAGGTAGGGATCCTGCTTGTTACTTCTGCATGTGGAAATCCTGTTTTCCCAGTAGCATTTGTTGAAGAGACTGTCCTTGCTCTGGGGATTGGTTTTAGCTCATTGGTCATATGAATTTCAGCATCATTCTTTCTGTATCTGAGAAGAATGTCTTTGGTATTTTGATTGGTATTGCATTGAATCTGTAAATGGACCTTTCAATTATATTGATTCTTCCAATCCATGAACATAGAAGGTTTTTCCATATTTTTGTATCTTCTTTTTCTTTCTTTAATGTTTTGTAATTCTTATTGTAGAGATCTTTGGCATCCTTGGTTAAATCTATCACAAGGTATTTGATCTTCTTTGTAGCTTTTATGAATGGGATTGATCTTAGAAGCTCTTTCTCAGTCATGGTATTGCCTCTGCATAAAAAGGCATTTCATTTTTGTTTATTAATTTTGCATCCTGCAACTTTACCAAATTCTCCTATGAATTTCAACAGTCTCTGTGGAGTCATTTGGATTCCTGATATATAGAATCATGTCATCTGCAAATAGTTTGACTTCCTCTTTCCCAATTTGAATCCCTTTGATTTCTTTTTCTTGCCTGTTGGCTCTGACTAAAACTTCCAGGACAATATTGAATAACAACCGCGAGAGTGGAAATCTTTTTCTGCTTTTCCAGATCTCAGTGGGAGAGCTTATAACTTTTCCCATTCAATAAGATGCTGGTCATAGGTTTGTCATATATTACCTTGATTGTGTTGAAGAATATTCCTTTTATACCCAATTTGCTTAGGGTTTTCATCATGAAAGTGTTGTATTTTATCAAATCCTTTCTCTGCATCTATTGAGATAATCATATGGTTTTTCTTCTGCAGTTTTTAATGTGATGTATCACATTGATTGATTTGTGAATGTTGTACCATCCCTGCATATCAGGGATAGATCCCACTTGGTCCAGGTGAATGATCTCTCTGAGGTGTTGTTGAATTTGATTGACCAGAATTTTGTGGAAGAATTTTGCATCTATGTTCATCAGTGAAATTGGTCTGTAGTTCTCTTTCTCTATTGCGTCTCTCTGGGTTTAGGAATTATGGTGATGCTTGCTTCATAGAAAGAATTTGGGAGGATTTCCTATCTTTCAATTGTTTTGTATAAATTGAGAAGAAATTGAGTTAGTTCTTTTTTAAATGTTAAAATTCAGCAGTGAAACCATCTGGTTCCGGACTTTTTGTTGAGAGGGTATTTATTACTGATTCAATTTCCATCTTGGTAATGGGTCTGTTTAGGTTTTCTGTCTTCATGGCTTAATTTAGATAGGTTGTATGCATCCAGGAATCTATCCATTTCTTATAGGTTTTCTAGTTTGTTGTCATACAGCTCCCTGTAGTAATTTCTGATGATTCTATTTATTTCTGTGATATCTATTATTACATTTCTTTTTTCATCTCTAATTTTATTAGGAAATCTGTTCTCTTTATATTAATATCAATTTTTAAAAAGCAAACCAACTCATTCTTTGGCATTAGCAAATCTGAATTTACTCTTGAAATTTCAAATCAAGCATTAAAAATAATAACCAGGTGAACTGGCAGCAAACTTATGAAGTAAATTGGGTTTAACATTGACAGCTACCAAATCTCCAATTGTCTGGATAATCCAGATCACAAATGTGCTAGAAGTTACTTGCAAAAACAATGACATATATGTGTATTTTTCTGAAGGAATGATACTTTATGCACCTTACCGGACACAATATTTTAGCTAAAATCTAGAATATTTCATTCTGTGCATTTCCATTTCCTGTTTATTTTCAGAGGTCACTGCATAGCCATTTTATACTTTCAAAATTTTAATTTGCAATTATTGTAAAATATAAAATATAGTCAGACTTCCATATTCTTGGATTCATGAATCTTTGATTTCAATATATTACAATATTAGATAAAAATTTGTGTGCATACTGATATAGACAGATTTTTTTTCTTGTTACTGTTTCCTAACAATATAGTATAACATCTGTTTATAAAGTATTTATCTTGCATTGTGTATTGTGGTGGAATGAGAAGGCCATGCCAAGATGGTTGCTGGCAACAGAAACTGCCTGGCAACAGGCTGTGATTGGATGGTTTTGGAAACCACATGACAGCAGAGTCTTCCTGGCAACAGGCTGTGATTGGATGGCTTCAGAAACTGCCTGGCAACAGTGTGTGATTGGTTAGGGTATAGACCGCCCCTTGACCGGATTGGCTGCCTTGGCTAAATAAGCTGTTGTAGCAACCGAAATAAACAAGTCTGCAGGCTGCTTGCCTCAGGCCTGCTTTCACCTGACTCCCGGGGTCTGTGTGTTGACTCTGCGCCTCTTGCCCCCACCACGCTCCTCCTCCAAGAAACGAATCCACTGCAACACTGTATTATATATAATCTAGAGGTCATTTAAAGCATGAGAGTAAGTGTGTAGGTTATATGAAAATACTATGCCCTTTTATATAATGGATGTCAGGATCTGTGGGTTTTGACATCCTGCCCTGCAAGTAGTTGGTTTATAACATCTATTTACAAGGTGTTTACCTTTCACTGGGTATAAAGATAAAAATGGAGGTTATTTGAAATATATGGGAGGAGGTGTGTAGGTTATATGCAAATACTATGCCATTTTATAAAAGGAGTTTGACATCTGTAATGTTTGACATCCTGCAAGCAATTGGTTCCTATGATAGCTATTTACTCAGCACTTACCTTGTGTTGGGTATACAGATAATCTAGAGGTTATTTGAAGTATATGGGAGGAAGTACGTAGATTATATGCAAATACTCTACCATTGTATATAAGGAACTTTGCCATCTGTGGATTTTGACATATTGCAAGCAGTTGGTTCCCAGAACCAGTCCTTCAAGGATCCCAACGATTGATTACATATGCCAACAGAAGCAGCAGTCTTTGGTTCAGTAGTCTTCAAAGTGTGCTTCACGTTAGCAGCTGATTAGGAGACTACAAAACTCCATGCTTGTGTTCCACTTGACACGAACTGAATCAGAACGTGTTGGAGGAAATTAAGTTATCAATAGTTTTTTTTTTTTTTTTTTAAGATCACACACCTCGTTCTAAATTGCAGTAAAGTTTTGAGACTACTGCCTTAAAATCTCTAGACAATAATGAAATAAATCAATTTTGTTAATGTTAAATCTACATTGTTTCTCTACTTAAATTTCAAGAAATTCAGAACAAATTGCTATGAAGCAAGGCCCAGTACTTTTTCAAATTTCCCCAATTGGTCTCATTTTTTGAAACTGTGTTTCAGAACAACTGCTTTCCTTTTTTTTTTTTTTTTTTTTTTTTTTTTTTTGACAGGCAGAGTGGACAGTGAGAGAGAGAGACAGAGAGAAAGGTCTTCCTTTTCCGTTGGTTAACCCTCCAATGGCCACTGAGGCCGGCGCTGATCTGAAGCCAGGAGCCAGGCGCCTCCACCAGTCTCCCATGCAGGTGCAGGGCCCAAGCCCTTGGGCCATCCTCCACTGCCTTCCTGGGACCAGCAGAGAGCTGGACTTGAAGAGGGGCAACCAGGACAGAATCTGGCGCCCCAACCGGGACTAGAACCTGGTGTGCCGGTGCTGCAGGCAGAGGATTAGCCTAGTGAGCCACGGCACCAGTCCAGAACAACTGCTTTTCTATCAAAGTGTTTGCTAATAAATTCCAAACCAACTTGAATGACCAAATGCACCTAATAAAAACTCCTTTCTAATTCATTGTACTATTTTCATACACCAGGATATTGGATTATTTTCAAATTGCTTTGTTAGAATTATTTATTGCATACATAGTAAATCATTAAAGTGCTTAGCTAATGACATCTTCCATGGTAATACAAAGATTAATTTCAAATCAACACAGAAATTACAAATTAAAAACAAAGTGAAGATTTACTAAAGCAGATGAAAGAGCTTCTTTGTAAATACTTAATGTGTCTTTGGTAAATCCCCTACCTGTTACTATCTGATGAAATTGAAAAGTTAATATATAAAAGGTAAGAAAAGTATAACATCCACTGGTGAGCATGGAATTTAATAACTTTAAGTTCTATGCCAGTTAAAATATCCTTAAATAAAAATTTCCCAATAACATTGACTTAGAACAGCCAAGATGGAAAATAAGGCACAAATTGAGGAAAGTGATGTCTTCTAAATTATACAGAATAGCCATACAATACAAGCCTAAAAATTAGTCAATAGACATCCTACCCACCCAGGCTTAACCCAAAATTAATCAAAGAATCAGAAGTAAACAACAAATCACTAAATGATTCCTTTACAGTTTTGTTCAAAAGATAAGAACTTTATATTTTTTCTTACTACACTTCAGCCTACCCAAATTACAATGTAGAACATGCACTATAGAACACGGAGGTTAAACAGCCACAACACATTGATCGGACAATACTGCCATTTTGTGGTAGTGACTACTCTGATGAATTGTGGCATCCTGGGCACTAGCTGGGGAATCCATGAAGATTGGGTGCTTTATCCAACAATTTATATATCATTCTTGCTGACAAAGGTATTAAAAACATATCATTAGGCTGGGGCCTCAGCTCAATAGGCTAATCCTCCGCCTGTGGCACTAGCACACCGGGTTCTAGTCCTGGTTGGGACGCCGGATTCTGTCCTGGTTGCCCCTCTTCCAGGCCAGCTCTCTGCTGTGGCCCAGGAGTGCAGTGGAGGACGGCCCAGGTCCTTGGGCCCTGCACCCCATGGGAGACCAGGAGAAGCACCTGGCTCCTGGCTTCAGATCAGCGTGGTACACCGGCCGCAGCCCGCCAGCCGCAGAGGCCATTGGAGCATGAACCAATGGCAAAAGGAAGACCTTTCTCTCTGTCTCTCTCTCTCTCACTGTCCACTCTGCCTGTCAAAATAAATAAATAAATAAATAAGCATATCATTACACAAATGTGATATGAGGGCATTATTACCATTAATAAGATGAAAACAAAGACAAAAGGCAGATAGATAGACTGAAGAATTACCATTGAACTGCAAGAAATGAATAGGCTTTTTCGAATCAAATGTTACGGTAGTTAAAAATAAAAGCATTAGGCTTTGATACTGGTGTGATGTATTTTAAGTGAAAAATAATTTACAAGCTACTTAAATCAATTTTTAAAAAGATTTATTTATTTTATTTGAAATACAGAGTTACAGAGAAAGAGAGAGAGAGAGAGCTTCCATCTGCTGGTTCATTCCCCAAATGGCTGCAACATCTGGAGCTGGCCGATTTGAAGCCAGGAACCAGGAGCTTCTTCCTGGTCTCCCATGTGGGTGAAAGGGCCACAGTACTTTAGCTACCCTCCACTGTTTTCACAGGCACATTAGCAAGGAGCTGGATTGGAGTGGAGCAGCCAGGACTTGAATCTAAATTAGAATATGTTTCTGTTTCATAACAAAGCTATTTCACACTGTACATAATTTATACATTTATCTTGACTTAGTAGCTCTGAATAACTGATATGTTATGCTATGTAGCAGATGGTTAATGGAGCATACATAAGGTCATGAAAATTTAAAGCAATAATTCAGTATTACTAAAACAAGTCCAGGAAGTCCTTTTACATGACTTCTTTTTGTAATAGTACAGTATTAAATGTCATAATATAATTATTTGCCACTAGTACAGCACTTAAAACAGTGCAAGATACCAATTGTAGTGATACCCGCTTTCATATATCAAAGACTGAGGGAGGATCATTATATTTAAATTTATATATTTGGGGATATGATGTTATTATTTGTGACAAATTTTAAATTTTCTCCATTTATATTTTAGTTTTAGATCACTCAATATCTTATGGAAAGTAAATAAAAACAGGCAAAGTGTGTTACCTCGGATGTTCGGTAGACTTTATAATAATGTGCAGTAAACATGTACTCCATGAAATACACACCTTCGTATTCCAATGTTTTGGGGACTTAAGAATCTCCAGGCATATGGTCTTCTATTTACTGTTCATTAGATGGAGATGGCTTAATGAAGACTTCCTTTGTGAGGCCCAACATTCTGAGTTAAACTAAAATGATTATGAAATGACACATTTGGTGTCGCTCCCCCTCTTCATGGAGGAACGACACTAAGCCCTGCCTAGGCTTCATATCCGAGTCACGGCACCATTATGTCGCTCCCCGTCTTCGTGGAGGAACGACACAGGACCCTGCGCTGTTCTTTCGTCTGCTCGGCCCTCCCCGGGTTTGCTGCTGGTTCTTCCCGGGTTGGCTACTGTCCCTTCCACCTCCGTGGAAGGGCGGTTCCCCCTGCCACATTCCCCACTTCAGCAGGGGAGCGGCACACCGCCGGCCGGCTCTCTCGGGGGCTGCACAGGTGTTCCCCTTAGATGTTCCCCTTAGATGTTCCTGGTGCATGCCGTCTCTCTCCTCCTTTATAGTCCTCCTCCGCCAATCCCAACTCGGCTGCCCACACGCTGAGTACGCTGCTCTCCTCCAATCAGGAGCAAGTCCTACAGTTTATTGGCTGAACTGGAGGCAGCTGTGTAGAAGCTGTTTTCTTCTCTCCCAGCGCCATATTGTGGGAGAGCAGATGCATAGAATAAGTCTTAATTCCAGTAACTTAGTCTAGTCCGAGTTGCTCCCCACAATTTGGTAGGAGGGCTGGTGATAAATACAGAGCTGATAATGATGAATGACAAGATTATAGAGGGATTGTTCCAGATCTGAATGACAACTGTAAATATTTGCTTGAACCACTCACTGTGTTGGATTTCTCAAAAGCAAAATCTGACAGTTTCACCAGATTTCATCTGCTGATCAATCCAGCAAGCTATTAGAGATGGATGTTTTGATGTTACCAAGTTATGCTGAGAAAAAAAAGCAATATTTATTTCTTTTTTATTTTATTTTTACTAAACCTTTCTTCCAGATGAAAATATATCATTTCAAAAGTGAGAAAACTCAGAGTGAACTACCATATTGGCATATTTCAAAATGGATTTTCTGTTAACCTGAAATGCAAGAACATTATCAACTGAGAATTCCTATAAGTATTGTGCTTCCCAAATTCTCAAGCATCTCCACATGCTTCAAAATTTGTGACACAAGCTCAAGGTAGTTGACTGGAATAGAAAAGAAGTGATTCTGTCACTCTTCAAAGAAATTATACAAACAAAAGCTCAGACAAAGGAAAGTGAAAGGTGTGTTTTAAAAATGGGGCAGAATTCAGTGTGCCCAGGAGGTAGGTTTTATATTGGAAATAAAAATGTGAAAGCAATTTTTCTACTGATAGTCATGGTTTTGAATGTGAGCTCAAAAAATATCAAATTTATTTTGGGGGAAATGTGAAGTGATTGAAGGCTTTGAATAAAGTGAAGAAGAAACTCTGAACAAAACAGGGTCTTTTTATGAAGATCAGATTGACGTGAATATCCATAAATATCACATTTTGATTGG